ACCATTCTTTTTAGCTTCGGCTACAGCTTTAGCATGCAAAAATTCATTTTTACAACATGACATTAAATGATTACTCAAATGTCCCGTACCACCTTGTTTTCCTACAGTTTTATGATTCATTCTATGTTTACATTTATTACAAATAGCTTGTGTTTAATCTTCATTTTGAGTCATAAATTGCCAAACAACTGGATTTTTGGCGCGTTCTACCTTAGTCCTAGGATGCACAAGGGGAACGGGAGCAGGACAACGAAAGGGAGCGGGACTAGGGAGAGAGGGACTGGGAGTGGGAGTAGTAACTGTAACTGGCTCAGTTTCATCATTGTCATCATATTCATCAACATTATTATCAAAATTATCAATATAATCATTAACATTATCATGTTCATCATCTTCAGGTAATTCCTCATCAAAATTACAAAACTTCTTTGTAAATGTTCATGATAAGGATCTAATCCACTATTACTATCAATATTAAAAATAATTTCATTAACATGCGTATAATTATTCATATTTATTCTTAATTGAGAAGTTTTTTTAGTTTTAGATTTAGAAGTACTATCGGTTTTTTTTTCTTGGATTTTGAGCTCCATAAATTAGTGATCGAATCAACTATGGTTGTTTTACCCTTGTCAACATTGTTTTTACCGAAATTCATATTCAAATATAAAAAGTGAGTAAATTATATATAATACGAAAATGTAATGCAAAGTTTTAAACAAATAAATAACCAAATAAGTAGAGACTAGAGACTAATTACTCAACAAAATAAATAATTAAATGCAAACAAATAAATAACTAAATGAAAAGTGAGTTGGAACAAATGTACCAAACGTCTACTTAAAAAAGTAGACATGTATGACCGAAAGCCGAAAATTGAAAGTTGAATTTTGAAGCTCCAAATCCAATTTAAAAGATCAAATTCGTAATTTTAACGAGAATAAGAGATTAGAGAGTAGAGACTTGAGTGAGACTTTTGAGAGTTGTTGACAGAATAGAAGATAATATTTTTGTGAATCAAAGATTTGGAGTATTTAGGGCATCTCCAACCCAATCCTCTATTTTACTTTCCAAATATAGAGTTCTCTATTTTTTCAGACAACCAACTCCAACCCAATTCTCTATTTTACTTTCTAAAAATGAATCTTTTTCTCTCTCCTCAATATTATATTATTATTTCTATTTCATTCTTATTTTCTTATTTCATAATATAAATCCTTTATTTCTTTTTTCCCAAATAATTACTTTATATAATTTTTAACGTGATATAAAATTATATTTTATTCTAAATTTTTAAATAACATAAATTGCAAGAAAATATAATATAATACATAAATTAGCCTCTACGACATCATGAATTGGTGCATTGAGATCACGTTCATCCTCAATTATCATGTTGTGCAGTATAATACATGTAGTCATTATATCATATAGCACTTCCTTTCTCCAAAAACGTGACGGTCCTGCAATAATTGCAAAACGTGATTGCAAAACTCCGAATGCACGTTCAACATCTTTTCGGCACGATTCTTGTTTCATCGCGAAATATTTCTTTTGTTGGGAATGAGGATCACGAATAGTTTGAACAATTGTAGACCATTTAGGATATATACCAGGAGCTGAATAATAACTCATATCGTATTCTTTTCCTTGAATAACATAATGGGCGGGAGGCGCAATACCGCTAGCAAGATTGGAAAATAAATGTGATGACTCTAAAACATTAATATCGTTATTGGTGCCAGACAAACCAAAATAAGCATGTCATATCCAAAGGTCATAATCAACAACAGCTTCAAGAATAATTGTTGGTGATCCACTACGACCTGCGTATTGCCCAGCCCATGCCGTTGGACAATTTTTCCATTTCCAGTGCATGCAATCTAAACTACCTAACATTCCTGGGAAACCACGCTGCTCACCAATGTGTAGAAGCCTCGCAACATCGTTAGGTGTTTGTGATCTCAAATATTGCTCACCAAAACCTCTACGACAAAATCTCTTCATACTTTCAATCGTAGTTGACTCTCCAATTTTCACGTATTCGTCAGTGGCATCCGCTGGCAAACCGTATGCCAACATTCTAAACATAGCGGTATTTTTTTGCAAAGTAGATAATCCAAATCTACCTAGTGCATCAATGCGTTGTTTGAAGTACATGTCGTGATCTTTAATTGCATTAACGATACGAAGAAACAGATTGCGGGACATTCGATAACGACGGCGAAATATTGCATCATTAAAGCGTGGTGTGACTGAAAAATAATCAGAAAATAAATTATCATCAGCCGCCTCACGATCACGATTGATTACCACATGACCTGGAATGGAGCCACCTATGAAAACTTCATTAGTATGGTTTTGTAGAACTTGTTGGAACATGTAGTTGTTCATACGTAGCTGATTTATTAAATTATCATGGTGTTCTGTATTGTACTAGGAAATTTTTTTAAATCTAACGAAGATGATGACGAAGAAGAAAAATCTTCATCTTTATTATTAGAACAATCTCCAAGATTGAAATTCATTTTCAAAGGACAAACCAAATTACTTAATATGTTTGAAATGAAATGAATGTGCAGACTTCAAGTGGTAAATGATGTTCATTATATAATATGTAATGTTTTATCTTAAAAAATATTAAATGTACTGATGAGAATCTCATCCAACCGTTTATAATAAGATGAAATCCATCTAATGGTGAATATGAAGATTACATTCTATCTTAATACGGTAAAATTTTATCCACACGGTGTATACATTAAACGAATACAATTTTTATTGTTACGTAATAAAGTAAAGCACGTGTTAATTAATTAAAATTGCGTAAAATGAATTATTAATTCAAACACATGAGATGCATGTATTAGATTGTTGTATACATTATGTGCGGATAAGTTTTACTCGATTAATATCTACATATAATTTTATTTATCTAAAATAACTTTGAGATAACTATGAGAATCTCATCCTACGGTTAAAAATATGGTGAAATTCATCCAATAGTAAAAATCAAAATTACATTCTATCCTATTTATCTACATGTAATTTTATTTTATCTAGAAGTAATTTTTTGAGATAAGGATGAAAATCTCATCCAATGGTTAAAAATATAGTGAAATCCATCCCATGGTCCATTACCGGTCCGGTTCCGTTCCGGCTTGTATCGGTTAGTTCTGGTTTTAGGGGGTCCAGGAGGGGTAACGGGAGGGAAATCGGGATTTACCGGTTAGTCCCAGTCCAGTATATACCGGTTCCGATCCCGGTCCGGTCCGATTCGATTTTCTTTTTTAAAAAAATTTACAAAAATAGCCGTTGGGCAACAGGTTTTGGGCCCCACCAACGTCTCTTTCACCCCCGTAACTCCCCAAAACACCCCTAACCCCCAAACTTTTTTAATACCCCAACCTTCTAAAAACTACATTTTCATCCTTTTTTTTTACCTATAAGACCATCTCCAACCCACCTCTATTTTACTCTCTATTCTCTATAATTGGAGAATAAAATAGAGAATGGGCACTCCAACCCATCTCCAAATCACCCTCTATTCTTCAAATTTAGAGAGTTGAATAGTAGTTCTCCAAATTTGGAGAACTACTATTCAACTCTCTAAATTTGAAGAATAGAGGGTGATTTGGAGATGGGTTGGAGTGCCCATTCTCTATTTTATTCTCCAATTATAGAGAATAGAGAGTAAAATAGAGGTGGGTTGGAGATGGTCTTATAGGTAAAAAAAAAGGATGAAAATGTAGTTTTTAGAAGGTTGGGGTATTAAAAAAGTTTGGGGGTTAGGGGTGTTTTGGGGAGTTACGGGGGTGAAAGAGACGTTGGTGGGGCCCAAAACCTGTTGCCCAACGGCTATTTTTGTAAATTTTTTTAAAAAAGAAAATCGAATCGGACCGGACCGGGATCGGAACCGGTATATACTGGACTGGGACTAACCGGTAAATCCCGATTTCCCTCCCGTTACCCCTCCTGGACCCCCTAAAACCAGAACTAACCGATACAAGCCGGAACGGAACCGGACCGGTAATGGAACGGTACCGGAACGGCACCTCCTGGTTCCGTTGTCAGCCATAGTGATGAGTAGAAGGATTCAACTGACAAACGGAGTCAAGTACAAGGGTCTCCAAGGTGATTCCGCCTATTAGAAATAAAAAAGTTTGCAATAACTTTTCATATATTTTACTCTCTTTTATTATGTTTAATTTTTCTTTTAATCTTTTTTTTTTCTTTTCAACAAATCTGGTATCAGAGCAAAGATCATTTTTTGAAATTAAGTAAATTGTACTCCCTTCTTTTGATTTTATGTGGCACCATTTGATCGAACACAAATTTTAAGAAATAAATAAAGACTTTGAGACGTTTACCTAATTGTCCTTCAAAAACTACTTCTATTAAATTTTAAAAACAAAATGTACGTATCGCAATTCGAAAATAAAAGATACTCACTTTTCTATTTCCTCATAAATGTATTGATGGAGGAAATTTTGTATTATGTTTGAGACATAGTTATGATGTGGCATACAAAATTTGTATAATTGTTTTCACATAATTTGCCAAGTGAATTATTGGATCCCATTTTGAGAAAAAACCAAAATCTCCCCCTTTTTTTCTCTCTCTTTTTAAACATTTTCTATTTTTGTTCAATTTTTCCTACTCTTTTTTTGAACTATTATTTTAAATTTTACTACGTTTTTATCTTAATATTTTTTATTCACAAAAAGAGTAAAATTTAATATATCTTGCCGTATTCATCATATTTTTAACATTTAGATATTATTTATTTTATCTCATATTAGTTATCTACATAACTAAAAAATAGTTATATAAAATTACTTCTTAATTAATAAGATTATTATTTTATTTATAATTTCTTAAAGGACCTGTAAAAGAAAAAGTGAACAATTAATATAAAATATATTAGCAGTATAAAATTTTCTTGCTCTTCTCTCGACAATTTTATAAATACCTAAATCCAATCAATATTCTCTAACAAGAAGATATAATGAAAATAAGTATTAACAATCTTCACAAATATTTAGGTAAGTTTTGACACAATTTTCATGAAATTCAAAATAAAAAAAACATACATAAGCGCCTACATATATACATGCAATCTCCGTTGGAGGGTGGGTAATAGGACCTTAGTATAGGAAAATAAACTACATAAAAGGAGATTGAAAGAAGTTATGTTAAAGAGAGAAAAAACAGAATATTAATTTTCTGACATCACTATTTTTCACTATACCTTAATCTTGTTGTGTTATTTTTAATTTGTGCAATAAATTATATTTAAATAAATTTTAAAAATATAATGTACTCTATATTAGAGAGATTGATAAAATGAGAGGTGGGCTCTGAGGATATGGAGGAGTGAGAAGAGAAAAGAATGAGTTATAAAGGCATGAGACCCATAATATATATTTTTATTTTTATTAACAAAAATTAATGGACATGCGTCGATTTTTGAAAAAAGAAACAACAATTGAAAACATAAATAAAAAAAATAAAGAAATCATAAAAATAGTATTTCGTGTTTAAATGGTACATAAAAAATAGAGTTAAAGGTTAAAATGTAACAAGGCTAAGATAGAGCTCCAAAATGAAAAATGAGGACAAGTTTGATGGGTTGTGTATGTGTTTGACCTTTTATCTATTAAAAGAAGTCATTCGTACAAGTATGACATGGTGTACCTCATTCACCGTAAAAATTTTCAGAGTGATATCTTTTCAAATTTGTCTTCCCTAAGTTACTTATATTCTCTTTTCAAGAAATAGTCTCAAAAACTCACTCTCTCAAAGAAAGAAGATTGTTCCATGGAAATCTCCGCAAATCAGGTTCATTTTTTAAAATCTTTTCTCTTCTTAATTAATTTCAATTGTTTTTAGATTTTGTGGCGCCAAATTTACTTTAAAGTTTGAGGTGTGGAATCATACTTTTATTTAATTTTTTTCAGCAAGTGTTAGTATAAGAGAGATGTCCTATTTTTTATGTCATTTCTTTTTCTTTTTTACCTTTGGATAATTTCTCTCATAGATACAATATTGTTTTCTTTCATTTTTTTAAAAAAAATTTATGCTTATACTCCAAAAATAAGTATAGTATTTTTTGATACATCCAACTACTACAAATAAACGATTAAAATTGGAAGAATATCAATCCATTGCAGATTAACTTTTTGTTATCTCCTGTATTCAGGTTAGTAAAACAGAAATAGAAAAAGATGAAATTGAAAGACAGAAAATAAACAATCCAAGTCCAAAAAACCCACTATGTATCCTCAAGAAATTTAATCCCATCAAGTACCCAAGGTTGTAGATTAATTCCTCCCAAGATAAAACGGATTAACTATTAAAGAAGTAGTGGTACCTCAAATTTCAATAATTTCAGCGAACTCAAAAATTAGCAACGAGAGCGTACACACAGACTCAGTCGATCAACAATTTTATTTGTAAGAAAATATATGCAGAAGAGAGAAAATTTTCAGTGTTTGAGAAATGAGAGAAGTCTCTCTATTTATAGCCAACTGCAGCAAGTTTGAACAAACTTGTTCAGACAAGAGTGTGAGCGTTCCTGTTCAGACAAGACATGTCTGTTCAGAACGTTTTGTATCTTTTGAAAAAAGAAGTGTCTGTCGGGAGGAACAAGTAACTTTTGAGCTATTTTGCCGTTACACGAATTTTCAAACATTTGTTATTGGACTTGTTCATTTTAAAAATGGGTTTGTGATGGATGCATTTATTGGACTTGTTCATGTTAAAGATCCTAGTGCTTTATCTTTAAAGAAAGAAATTGTAGATGTACCTGCTCACCATTCTTTAACTTTATCTTATGTACGTGGGTAAAATTACGATGGGGCAAACAATATGCAAGCTGAACTCGGTGGTATTAAAACATTGATTAGACAAGAAAGTAGATTGACTCATATTGTTCATTGTTTTGCTCATTTTCAATTGACTCTTGTTGTTGTTCTAAAAAGTGTGTTCAAATTAGGAACTTGTATTATTGATTTCAAATATTTTGAATGTGTTGAGAGTTTTTTTAAAACGCGTGGATAATTTTTGAGAATCTCAAAAGAAATAATCTCCCAGAGGCATTAGATATGGGTGAAGTAAAAACACGTAAAGGGTTGAATCAAGAACTTGGTATTATTAAAACTGGTGATACTCGTTGGAGATCTCATTACAAGTCATTGAAAACTTTATTAGTAGCTTTGATTCTATTGTTGATGTACTTGATGTTCTTATTGTAAATGCAAGAACTTTGGAAGAAAGAGCAAGCACATTGAAATTTCTCAGGATTCGTCAAATGTTTGAGACTGTTTTCTTGTTGCATTTGATGACCGATGATTTAGGAATCACAAATGATCTAAATATGTCACTATAGATAAAGGAGCAAGATATTGCAATTGCTATAAT